TTCCAGAGACGGAGGGCAGCCACAGCGAACGCCCAATCACCCATGGTCCTTACTCTGGATCGAGGAAGGTGGAGGAAGTTGCAGTCTTGTGATCGTAGAGATCTGGTGGATGAATGTGGTTATCTGAATGTCCTTCAGATAATCCGGTGAGGTTCCGTTTAAACACTGATGGGTAATGAGAGCGATTTTGTACTGAATTCTATAGGTGAAAGGAAGCCAGACAGGAAGTTCTTAAACAGAAATTGCTTACCAACCTGGCTTATTGTTGTTGTTTTTTTATGCATGTTGCCTGTAGATCAGAAAGACTAGCATGTGCTGATTGTTGCCCTGTTGCCTCATGAAACGTGTTCGCCAGTCACCCACAGGAGATAAAAACAGCTTGTTTGAGTCCCAGAGCTTTGGACTACAGCTGTGATCAGTTAAGTGTCTCTTTGTGTAACATCCTCTTGAATTTAAAAGCTCAGAGCTTATGGATCACTCTCTGGTTCGAAAAAGATGTTTGGCTAAATATTTCCTGCAACCGTGCACTTTTTGGCAACATGAAAAACATCATTGTGTCTGGCATCTATTAATTGTGATACTAAGTTGCATAGTCACTTTTGTGACCCAGTAAGGTGTCTTGTGGGCCAAATTTATGCTTTATATCCGTGAGCTATGTGGGAACACGTTTATCTATAAAACCTGGCATGTTTTTGTCAGTTAATCCGACATTTCGGATCCGACATTATTTGCCCTACTGGTCGAGTAATTTTAATGTCAGTTTGCATTCAGGAGTGAGTGACATGATTAACAATGGCAACATTTACAAGCTCTTCTCACATGTTCAAATATGACATCAGGTCTAACCACATCGTTCCTGAACTCGATTCAGTTGCATAGGTCAAGAGTATAATAAAAAAAATTATGAAGTAAATACAAAATATGAAAATTAAAAAGAAAGAAAACAATTAATAAAACAAAATGAAAAACTAAATCATAGTGATAATGTTAAATTGATCATGTTGAAATATTAATCTATGTGAAAATATATTATCAAATAAGTTGGTCAAATTCATTTTTTTTTTATTGGATGCAAAGACTGGCACATTAATAACTTAATTGAGGCATTTATTTATTTCTACCATTATTCCAAATTTTGACAGGATCAGTCCACCATACCTACTACTACCAATATACAACATAATATTATCAGAAAAAAAATAAAAAAAAATAATATATTTAGCTAATATCCTCAAATATTCCTGGGAGGAAGGGCAAGGTGGGCATTTTTTGTGAGTGCCTTCAAATTTGACCAATTGTATAAATGTATTTGTGACAAAAATAATAAAGAAAAAAAGATGTACTTATCAGAATAGACTTCATAATATTTGCTAAACATGTACATAACACATAAATAAATAAATCTCTCATCCATGTATTATTCAGAAGTGTCCATGAAGAGGATCTCACACAGGAACCCTTCATCCTCAGTGCTGGTTACTTTTTCTCTATTATGGTGATTGTGTATTTTAAATAATTGCTTTGCAGATATGTAACCAAATCTTACTAAAATTACTGCAGCAATCGAAATCCTTTGATCTCCATAGTTCAGCTTCATTCTAATTAAACGCTAAAGCTGGAGAGAAAACATGCATTTATGTTTATCTCACAGAGCACTCTTGGCATCAATTAGTGGATTCCTCAAATGCAAAGATGTTTAAATGATTAAAGATCATGTTCACCAATTCACAGCACTAATTAGATTATTTTATGTGTGTATGCATTGTCTAAATCCTCAAGGTACACAAGAAAAAAGGGGAATTCACATCCTGGTAGAATAGAGACTTTATTTTTGTTTGACACTTGTGGTGCTAATAACATCTTGTACATGTTCCTGTAAATTTTTGTACAAAATAGAATTTGTTTTTATTTGGAGAAAAAAAAAACTGCCAAAACTGTCTTTTTTTCCTCTTTCTCCACAGAAAATGATGGCTGTACCTCTCCATTTCTTCTGTCATGTCGTCTTTCTACTCCAGCCATATGTAATGAACACAGCTGATGGGGGAGCATATTATGGACCAAAGCCACCACCTCAGCAGCACCCTCAGCCCATCCCGCATTACAGCGATGACTTTCCTCAGCAGCAGTTCCTGGGGAACGAGATGCCGCATTCATCTTTCAGCAAAGGGATCCCGTCACTGTCACAGTACAGAAAAGACGCTCCACAACTGCCAGTGCCTTTGCAAATTGGAAAAATGAGACCATTGACAAAAGGCAAAGGTGAGGTTTTACACTAGAGAAACAAAAATTACTCCATTGACATGGAAGCTTTATCCTTTTTAGCCATATACTAGACAGAATCTTAATAAAGTAGCGTGTGGTGTTCCACAAGGTTTGGTATTGGGACATCAGTTATTTATTTATTCATGTATTTTTGTGTATTGGTGTGTTACACACCACACACACATTTCATGGCTATTTGCTTGATTTTGCTTGATTTTGGGTTTATTTTAAAAAGTTAATTCACATTAAAATCAAGAAATACCCACATTCCAAATAATAACAAAAATTGTAGTGCTCTATTAATATTTAATAAAAAATATTGAAGTCATTTATTAATTAGGCCCGAGCAGCTAAGCGCTGCGAAGGCCTATTGTAATTGCGCTGTTTATTATTTTTCTTCAGCCAAATGAATTGGCTTTTTGGGGGCTTTATCATATTCAAAAAGTCACCAAACTTGGCGGGCGCATAGAGCCCGTGTAAAATTTACGTATTTTAAGGTCGTCCCAAAAATCGCAACAGAAACTGCTCAAGGGCGCCACCTAGCAACTTTCAAAAGACCCTTTCCTATTCACTTACTTTATCGTAGAGACTTGAAATTTGGTACACTTGTAGAGCTCCCCAAGACACTCTATGACAATTAATGTCATAGTGCAAGTATCACAGATTGTCGGCCATTTTGGATTGAAGTTCCGATTTTGACCCGATTTTGGCCGTTTACAGGGTTCGCATTTGATCGAACTCCTCCTAGGGATTTCGATCAATTGGCTTCAAACTCGGTCAGATCATTTATAAGGCATGGCCAATCCAAAGTTATCAAAGGTTTGCGTTTTTGAGGTTGCTAAAGGGGGGTTTCCTGGGGTCAAAGTTTACCTAATCGCCATGAAACACCAAACTGTTATAACTCTTACACAAAACCTCACAAAGGCACCAAACTTTCAGTGATTGATCATCATCGGGTCCCCTACAATACCCAATGGTCAAATGATGACATCACTTAGGCCCCTGAGAACAGGAAGTGTCATATTTTACGGTGAACGGTCGCTGTCTGACATCTTTGACCTAATCAACATGAAACTATGTCCACAGACAGAAAACATGTTGGTGTGTCGTGGATTCCAACCACGTTTGGTTTCGATGGAGCAGTTGGGCATGGCGGTGTGGCGAAGTGACCTGTAACGCCGTGTCCATACGTTTGGCTGCAGATTCCACAATTTTGAGCCCAGCTGCACCAAACTTGACATGAGTGATCCTGGTAGGGTCCCCTACGATCCTATGTTGTCATAGTCTGACGTCATCTAAGCCCCGCCCCCTCAGAACAGGAAGTGCCTTTCTTTGACTTGTACAGCTCCATCTATGGCTCTCTCGACCTAATCAAGATGATTCTGTGTTAGATGACAGATAAGAAGTTGGTCTCAATTGCTTTAAAGCACCAAGAGTTTTCAGTAGTGGCCGTGGCCATGGCAGCGCGGCGAAGCAGAGGGAACGCTGCCGCCATACGTTTGGCTCTAGATTCCATATCGTTCAGCCCAGCTGCACCAAACTCACTAGGATGCATCCTTATTTATCCCCGAACAGGAATCCATAACAGTTGATGGGCGTGGCCTAATTTCTCTACAGCGCCCCCTAGAATCTTTTAAATAATCAGCCCCAAGCCATTCTTTAACCTAGAATTATGAAACTTGGTACACATGTGTATAATGTCAGGACCTACAAAAAAGTCTCTTGGAGCCATGGTGCAAACCCAACAGGAAGTCAGCCATTTTGGATCAAAAGCCGCAATTTCCTGCTTTTCATAGACGTCGGATCTGATCTATCTCCTCCTACAGCTT